CCCTGTCTGCAGGGCCTTTGAGCGCAGCGGTGGGCACTGCTGGGGTGGGGCCTTGGTTATAACAGGGAAGGGGAGAGGACTGTGTGCCCAGAGGACTGTCCCGTCCACACTGGCACTGCCTGCCTGCCCCTGGGCCCTGGGACATGCAGCTGCGTTTGCAGAGCAGCTGACGTCAGACTTGCCACCTGCACCGTCAAGGTGCGGGAGCCCCGGAGCACCACTGGACCCATCTCTTACACAGGCTGACCGATTTCTCCTGGTGTTCAGAGTCTGTTTTTGTCTAGCACCATTTGAAATCGGTTATGATGTAGGGGGAAAAGCAGCAGCCTCGAAGCCTCGTGCCAAGTCTGTTCAACAACAGCCTGTGGTTTCCTGGAAGACGGACGGGCACAGGGTGGGGGAGGGAGGTCACACTTTTTCCTACTAACTTCTTTAACTGCATTTCTGATACTTCATTGCAGAGGTAGGAGATGATGTATTGGGTTTTAAAAAACAGATCACTATAATTTATCCCAGGTCCTCAGTTGCATTTTGCTGAAATGTATACTGGTGTAAATTTTATAAATTGGCTGCTTGTTGACTTACCTTTCTGTTAAGAAGAGACGATTCATGCATCTGAACTTAATAAATATTTTACTGTATTCAGTTTACCACGTCTTTGTTTTTCATGATTATTTCCTATTATAGTTCTGTGATGACGAAAAGTGGGGACCTGAAAGTTATTTTCCGATGCAAATCTTAACTACGTTAGAAAGCATTTGAGTGGGTTACAGCAGACAGACAGTAAAAACAAAGCCCATTAAGACAAAAATGGAAATCTAGGAGCCAAGAAATACAATAAAGTGAGAGAAAAGATGCTGGCATTTTGATCGCCTGGGGCTACTCCTGTCAGGGAAACCGACCTGGACTGCAGTGGGCCACAGCCTGCCCACAAAGGTGGTGTTCCTTCCCATGACCCTTATTACATTGGCGGGCAGGCAGGCAGGCGGGCAGGCTGATGACTCCAGTGGAATTGTAAGCAGTGCAGGAGTTCTTCTCTCAGTTCCTACTTTCTATCAACCCTCGGAGACGGGGAACAGGTTCTGTAAAGGTATTCAGAAACCTGTGGGATCTTCAGGTTGCAGGGCTGTGGTCCCTTGAATGAGCTTTTTGCACAGGACGTGCCTGGCCGGCTGTGAAGGACCTGCAGTACTTTCACTTCACGCCAGTGGTTCTCAGGAAACGGTGACAACTCAGCCCCCTGGGAAGCTTCTTCCCTGAGATGGCCGCCCTGCCGGGGGCGGGGGTGGTTCGGGGAGGCATCTGCTGGGAAAACTTGCCTGTGAGTGTCATTCACCCCGACTGCAGCTCCAGTGCTGTTTCGAGCTGTTGATGGGAGATTCCGTGTTCTAATCCCAGGGCTGTTTTATTCACTTCTCCACTGAGGCAGGTTACAAAAGTACCTAGGGGTCTGGGAGCTATGGGTCGCTTGTAACAAATGGAACAGTTTTTGCTCCACCCACTGTGTTCCAAGCTCCAGCCTAGGCACTTGGAGCTTGGAAAATGGGTTCTGCTGTCAAGTTGCTCTGATTTCAGCCTCCAGATGACTAAGTACTAGAAGTCGGAATGGGTGAGCGGAATGTTTCTTTTGGACACACCTTGAATCTGGTTTTTGAGGCCATGCTTCCCACCCAGGTAGAAAATGCTTTGTCGGGGGTGGGTCCTGCCTAGCTGAGTTGTACCACGTGGTGAGCTGTAAGTGTGTTGGTGGCAGGGAGTGTTGGACGGAAGGTACACTCAAGCCCACTGCAAGGGCTACTGGCGAGAGTTCCCGTCTGTGGAAGTAAATGCTGATGAGTTCTTGATAAGTCTGAGGCAGCCGATCTGAACACAGTTCAGGTGAAACGGAGTGCAAGTCTTGAACCTGGTCATTCTTCATGTGAGGTGTTGTCCCAGCCTCATCGAGAAGCTGGTAGATGGTTTTAGGGGGTACCGGGCAGACTGGTGTGCCCCTGTTTTAGAGGAACGTAAGAGCTTTCCTTGAAGACACACAAAAAAATGTTTTGAGTTTATTCTAATGTGACAGTTCCACCCTACTTTCTGATTAGATTCACACCAGGAGCCTTTACTTGACTGATTCTAAGGCCCCAGCTGTACAGGTTCTGGCTTAACCGATCTGGGACTGGGGCCTGGACGTCACCTTTTATTGTTTGTTTTAAACTCATCCCAGGTGATTCTGATATGTAGCCAGGGGTTCAGAGCCACTGCTCTGTGGTCTTGTTTCTGAAAGGTTCTGTGGCTCCAAGTGTGTTCCGAGGACCCACGGGAAACGCATGGTTGTTGTAACAAATCACAGCAAAGGGGGAGTCTCAGTCTCTTCAGGTCTCTCTGAAAAATAGTCCACACTGGGCAACTCACAGACAACAGAGGTTTATTCCTCACAGTTCTGAAGGCTGGGACGTCCAAGATCAAAGGCACTGGTAGTTTCGTTGTCTAGTAGGAGCTAGCTTTCCGGTTCATAGACAGTGCCTTCCAGCAGGGCAGAGTTCACAGGGCAGAAGGTGTGGGGGAACCTTCTTGGGTTTCTTTTACAGGGACTCAGTCTTATTTGTGAAGCCTCAGCCCTCATGACCTACTACCTACCCAGTGGCCCCACTTTCTGATACCATCACCTCGGGGGCTAGGACTTAACCTGGGAATTTGGAGGGATGCAAACACTCACACGGTGTCTCAGCACACAGTTATCCTTTTAGTTCTGGAAGTCGTAAATCGACCTAGTTTTCACTGGGTTGAAATCAAGGTATTGGCAGGGCCATGCACCCACCGGAGGGACGAGGAGAGAATCAGTCTCCCTGCCTTTTCCAGCTTCGAGAGCTCCATTCTTGGGTTTGTGGCTCCTTCCTCTTGTCCTCCCAGCCAGCAGCATTTGCCTCAGTAGTCACATTGCCTTCTGCTACAGTCAGATCACCCTTGGTCTTCCTTTTTTAAGATTGGGAGTATATTTAGGACCCCAGCTGGATAATCCAGGATAATCTCCCCGTCCAAGATCTCATCTGCGAAGACCCTTTGCCATACAGGTAACATCACAGGTCCCAGGTGTTAGTGCCCCAGTATCTGTGAGGCCTGTTAGTGCCGCAGTATCTGTGAGGCCATTACCGCAAACAGCAGATAGAATGTGGAACTCACGGAAATGCAAACACCGGGCCCCACCTGAGACCCACCCGGTCAGAATCTGCATTTAACAAGATCCCCCAGTGATTCACCTACTCACTAAAATTTGAGAAGACTGGTTCTATGGGATCTTATCCAAGGATTCTCTCATAATTGAGTCCCACGTCAAATGCAGACTGAAGGAGTATTTTCCTAGGAGCCTTTGAAGGGGGCAGTAGGTGATCAGTGACTGATCACTTTCCCAAATGCCATAAATAAGTGCCCACATAAATATAACAAGTTTCCAAAATTCTCAGGGAAGCCAAGAGCCATAAGTCCCAGGATAGCAGAGCTGTTGTTCCTGATATCTGACACAAGGCTTACCACTGCAACATACAATAATTCAATTCTTTAAAAGTGACATAAAAAACATAACCGCGAGTGGCTCCTCTTGCTAACATCAGTGTTACTACCTCTCTGCAGATTTTCTTGGGCTAACAAGTGTGCAACTTCCTCAATGTGATCTATGCTTGTGGCAATTTGTTCACTTTCTGTTGGTATATAAATGATAGGGAAGGAAGAATAGTTTACTGACTATAGACCCCCAATGTTATACTTCCCCCATATTACACAATAAGGGACCAAGTTTAGACACTTTAGAAATGTTCATTTCACAGAAGGAAACCAGGAAAGAGCTTGTTAATACCAGATTCAAAAGAAAATGATAAAGGGCTTCTGGCAATGACTAAAACCTCAGAATAAAGACAATTAATTTGAAGGGCTAAGGAAGGGATTGTCAAATGCCCTGTTTGTCCACACGAGGGCAGCAGTGCTACAATTTACAAAGCTTCATTTTGGTGGAACCTTTGAGGAGCCTGGAAATGAAACAATATAGCTGGGGTGGGGGTGGGGGGGGGGGGAGATGAGCACAGTCACTCAATTTTGCATGATTTCTGAAGTCAGTGCACTATGTTAAATCCTGCTTGAGTACAAGTACTCAAATTTTTAAAATACATAGAAGTTCATTCGAGTTACAGTGTTAGCTGTCACTAAATTTAGAGTATCGGAGTTGCCTATTTTCCTTAAACCTAACATCTACCTTAACAATGACCAAATTCCTCCTGTTCCAGGTATCTTCAGCACCCTTGCAGACTTCCACTGTTAATCACCTGGAATGATCTAACTGTATATATTATCCCAATGTACAGGTATTAGAAATAACCTCAAGTTAAAGCCAAATACAATTTGATAAAATGCTTTATTTGTAGTCAACCTAATTTTCATCCAGTGCTCATATTAAAGATCACTTTTGTATTTTTAAGCCACAGATTATCTTGTTTGATTAGCCAGGCAACAAGATCTTCAATTTTTCTGATCTTTAATAGGCCAATTTAATAAAACCTCAAATTTCTTAAGTAAATGTAAGCCTTTACCCATGACAAGTTTCTATGTAGAAATGGGCCCTGGGACTGGAGAGTCACTAATGCAGAGATTCTCAACCTTAGCTACCTATTAAAGCACCAGTGAACTAGGTATGCAGCACAGGGCAGATGGTCTGGCTTGACTGACAGGTTACTTAAGAAATTCAGTATGAAGAGGTAGCTTGGGAATAAAAGTTGGGATTTAATTGTAGAATGTCTTCAAGCTTTATTCCGAGGAACTTGGACTTCGTGCTGTCGGTAACGTGGTGTTACTGAACAGGAGAGGCAAGTGATGGGCTAAGAGTGGAGAAGCCCGGATGTACTTCGGGCTCTGAGATGTGCGAGTTAGGATGACTGTGGGCGTGGACGGTGAGGGAAGGTGGGACTGGACCAGAAACATACGGACTGACGTAAAACACACGGGAAAGAAACACACTGGCACAAAGATGATCATTTGTAATCCTGCATTTTATTTTTAGCAGATTTGAAGCTATTTTTCAAAAACTAAACAAAAACCTCCTCCATACCTGGGGCTTCCCATTTCACTGCAAATACATTTTTCCAGCTTTAAAAAACTTTAATTCAAATATCCTTCTTTCTCTGTCATTTGAACAAACTTTTCAACAAAAATTGGTTCCCTCATACATTTCAGTAACTGAAAAATTATTTGACATAATTTTTATACATATTAACCATTAAATTGAAAAAAGTAAATTTGAAGCAGAAACTACTGTAAAAGTGCATTTATTTTGGTAAGCATAACAATCTGGTTGAAAAATACAATTAGGCTTTAATAAGTGAATAGTATATCCATCCCTGCTTCTAAGCAAGCACTGCATTTTTGAAAATAAGTATGTGAAAATAGGTAGACTTCTAATTCCGAATTCCAGTGTATTCCCACTCAAACTCATCTTCCAAATGCCCCTCACTAGAGATTACAGAGGGAAGGCACATTTTATACAGTAAAATAGTCTTTACTCTGGTCCACTGATACCCCAAATCATGTCCAATTTAGGGCAACATTTCTTTGGCCAAATTTGTGCTACAGAAAAGTGTAAAACAAAACGTGTAAGAAGGAATTAGAGTAGCAGTCCCTTCTCTTTGCCCACTGGCTCATCTGAAAGAGACCCTGATTGGTGCAAGGACTCAGAAGAGGGGGAATCTATTCCACCTGAGCATAAAGTGCTACCTGATGAGCTAGGTGATTTTCCTTCTAGGACCACCAACCAACAGTTTCCTGGCAAGGTGCACACAAAAACTAATTCTGATGCAACTTGAGATTATCTAAGTTTACTCCCCCACAAAACTGCCTAAGGCTAGGTGACTGAGTGAGCTATCCTACTTTTTTTCAAGTAGGGAGAGAAAACCATCAAGGCCAGAACTCTACATCCCTTAAAGAGTAGAATTCTCCCTGAGAAAACTACAAGGCCACAGCATTCACTTTGTATTAAACTAGCATTCTTGTTATTGAATGTGTTCTAACTCTTTATAGAAGTATACTACTGTTGCTGAATTTTTACTGATTTAGATTAAGTTTGATATTGAAGTGAACAGCCCTGGCTGGTGTGGCTCAGGGGATTGAGCGCTGACCTGAGAACCAAAGGCTCGCCGGTTCAATTCCCACTTGGGGCACAGGCCTGGGTTGCAGGCCAGGACCCCAGGAGGGGTGCTCAAGAGGCAACCACACACTGATGTTTCCCTCTCTTTCTCCCTTCCTTTCCCCTCTCTAAAATGAAATAAAATCTTAAAAAAAAAAAGTGAACAAATGCCATACATTAACTTTACTTATGGCTTCTCTAAATTACCAAGAAGTTAAAATGTTTCTTTTTAATAGAATTTCACTGTTTACTCTGAGTATATCCCAATAATATTCTTAGTTAAGGAGTCAAACTTACTCAAATTCCCAGTTTTCAGTAATCTTATTTTTAATTTTTAAGGGCTAAAGTATTATACACATATTTATACAGACTTTTTACAATAAACTATATACCATACATAGTTGTTGAGAGAATGAATCTTAAGAGTTGGTATTACTTTTTTTAGAAAGGTTTCAAAATCACATTCTTTACAGATGAAATACAATCTCATTTTGAAGTATATTTCTCTAAATTTTGAGATTTTCCACCTTAATACTACCAGGGGCCTTGTGTTGACTCGCCCTACAAATGCAAGTGCTCTTTGAGGTACAAGAGGCAAGATGTTCAGACGCAAATTCATGCCCCTTTCGGAGAGGCATCGAAGGACAATGACGACATTCAAATGACATTAAAACCTGAGCATTGTCTGAACATTCATGACACTTTAAGAAATCATTAAGCACCTCTGTAGACTCTTCCTTTATAGTTGTATTGATATAATGTGTAAGACTGTGTAAGTTTAAGGTGGACATTTGATAATTTGTATGTTATGAAATGACAGCACAATTTTAGTTTATACCCATCAACTCAGTTACAAAAAAGTTTTCCTTATGATCACAATTTTTAAGATCTATTCTTTTAAGAACTTGCCAATATGCAATCTAGCACACCAGTCACCATGCTACACGTTACATCCCAATATGCACTCGTAACTGGAAGTCGATACATTTTGAACACCTCATCCAATTTCCTCACCCCACTGCCCACCACCCACCACCCACCCCTGGTCCCTCCAAAAGTGATTTCTTGTTTTATTTTTTATAGATTCTACATCTAAGATCACACAGTATTTGTCTCCCCTGTATGACATTTCACTTAGCAAAATGCCCTCAAGGTCCATCCTCACTGTTGCCAAGGTCTGGATTTCCTTTTTATGACTGAATAGTATTTCACTGTACAAGTACACTTGTCTTTATCCATTGATCCGTTGATGGACACTTTGGCTGTTCCATGTCTTGGTTATTGTGAATGCTGCTGCAACAAACAGGGAGGGGCAGGTATCTCTTCCACATCATGATTTCATTTCATTCCGATAGATACCCAGAAGTGGAACTGCCAGATCATAAGGTGGTTCTATCTTTAACTTTCTGAGGATCTCCCATACTGTTTTGCATAGCAGCCATGCGAAAATGTAGACCTTGACATTTTAACAGAATCAAAAGATGAAACATGTTACGCCGGTTTTTGGGAAACCATTTAGTGCTCTGCTGGAGTGCTTGCCTTATTGTGGTAAGGCCTGTCTGTATTCGGCATTAACATCTGTTTTCCTAAAGGCAAGATAAAGAGGTAGCATGAAAGACAAACATAATTAAGTACAGAAATTAAATTCAGAAGCTTACTTAGAAAATGAACAATTAAAATAAACTGTATTGAGTCCCTGATCTAAGAAATAATTCTTTTAAAATAATTTCAAGTGTTCAACTCTCCTGCCTCAGAATCTTATTCTAGTCCAGCACTGTCTAAAAATATGAGTCATATGGGTAATTTTAAATTTTCTAGAAGCCACATTAAAAAATTAAACAGGACTATTAATTTTATTATCTTTTACTTGACCCAACACAGGGAATATATTATCATTTTGTCATGTATTTTACATTTCCAGCACATCCTACATTGGAGTAGACACATTTGAAGTCCTCAGCCACACATGGCCATTACCTTCTGAATCAGAAAATGTCATTGTAGTCCCTGCCTCAGTCAACTGACCATGACAGACAGACTAAGACTAAAACGGGCGCAGCCAGTTATCTGCAGTATGCTTGTCACAGCAGCCACGTCCGGGATGCCTGCCCAGTGCCAGAGAGGACCAGTTGGCCCTGGATTCCTGGTACTCCTCTCTGTGGGGAGGCCACCACTGTCACAGGACCCACTTGTGGTCGAGCAGCTTCCGAACAACTACTGTGGGGGTGATGTCATGGTTAGGCCCGTCCCTGAATTCTCCAAGACTGCTGTATTTTTCTATGTTTTGAAGTCAACTCAAGTTTTCTCTGTAAAAGTGGAATCTTTTTAAATTAGAATTTAAAATATAATTCCTATGTGAGAAAGATAACAAATTTCTGACAATATTTACTTGATTAACCATGAAGCTATTTGAAGATGACAAAAATCTGCATCCCAATTACTAATGACCATTATTTTATATTAACTTCGGCATTTGTTAAATTAACTTAAACCGTTTACAGACACCTTGAAGCTCATGACAGTCTGAAAACTACTTTCCTGGTTGGCTTCAGCCTCAAGGAACCCTGAGAGAACAGGGTGGAGAGGGCTGGGAGGCCCAGACCGCCCTTCCAGTAGGAGTGTTTGTCTCCCTTTTCCCCCTGGGATCACAGACACCACCGTGCTTTTACCAAGAAATCGCCCTTCCCACTGGGCTTTGCAGAACCTGCCCCCAAAGTCCTGACTGTAACCTAGAGTAGCACCTCACATGGCAGGTGTTGGGGTACGGTCTCCCTCTCCTCCCCGCTCTGTGGGCACACATTCTAACAGAGGGACACTTCCAGTTCATCTTGTTCACGTGGAAGGTCAAGGGCTTCCAGGCAGTGCAATCCACAGTTTTCCAAAATCTAGGGATCTTTGTTTTGCTGGTTTCTCTTTGTATGGTAAAAAATTTCTGGTTAAGAAAATAGATACACCTTTACAGAGTTAATGTTTATAACTTGAAATTAAAAATATTTAAAAAATTAAATGAAATGTATTTTGGCTTCTGTAAATAGACATTTTTCTTCCCTGAACTTAAAGGGAACAGACTCTATGATTATTTGCCACTTAGGTAAAAAAATTCCCTCACTTTGAGATTCACAGCAACTAAAAGCTAGAGGACAAGGGGACCCCACCTCAAAGACAAAGCCTGTTAGTCCACATTATTTTCCATTAAAATTGGAATGATATAAAAGATTGATAGTTTGGCAAAGGAAACAGGAATTTAAGTATCCTTTTTAATGTTTACTGTCATCGTATCTTAGATAGGGTTACTGACATCTATATATTTATTCAATGTCTGAAAAGAAACACAGAAAGCAGATACCTTTTAATGATAAAAGCAAACCTTTCATCTCTTCTTCTCAGAGAGAAATAAATTTTACTTCTCTGTGGCTCTCACCAGTTAGGTAGGTGCTGAACAGAGGAAGGGAAGAGGCCTGAATAAAATAGTGACAACAAACCAAAAGGAAGAGTGGCGTAATAACTGGGATAAAATTAGTGACCGGGGAGAATGGAAGGAAAGCTGCCGATGAGATTCATACACGGGGACTTTTCTGATTCTTATTTAGGAAATGGCTTAAAGAGGAACATTGTGCAAGAAGCTCCTTTAAATTGGAAGTCTTATAGCTCATCCAGCAAATAAATCAAGATGCTGATTTTCTGTGCAATCTGTTTATCTCTGGAACATGTAGCCTGAACTGAATTACGTAAACTCTTTCACAGAGTAACAGATTGGGGGAGAAATGGCCCTGGTCTCTAGCACCTTATTTTAGGGAATACACAGAGTGCACATACTAAATGCACATAACACTGTCTTAGAAATCCATGTTATGGCAAGTCACACATTTCCAGCTGCATTCTGACTTCTGCACTGCACAGTTTCTTCCTGGGGCACATCTGTTTGCAACCTCAGGGGAGATCTCTGTAAAACTGATGATAAGACCTCCCATTTTCCTGGGATGCGTTTAAATCTCATTAACGTGCTTTCTCAACTAATTACAAAATCTCTTTGTCATCTTAGTTTTCCATTGAAAATGCTTGAAGAGCTTGTTGAATACTCAAGAATTAGAGGACCAACTAGAAAAATGTTTAAGTGCATTTGACTCTTCAGTTTTTTTGTCCCATACCACTTCTAGTGCCCACCACCTGAGCTGGCCACTACACACAGTAGATCCAAAAAACTTTGTGATGTACATTTAAGCAGATAGATTAAAAATAAATAAAATATTTAAAAAATAATTACAAAGTTACTGAAGCAGGCATTATTAGCCTAACATTAAAAACAGGGTTACGTTACAACAAATAATAAATATCCATAATGAAAAAAAGAAAAACGATTTAGTCACAATGATTTAAATGATTATTAAAATTCATAAATTATGCAAAGAATTCTAATAAACTCTTGCAAACTCTCACCTTGAAACAACTGGATTAAAGAAAAATGATGCACCTAAGAAAAAAACACTCACTACAAATAAGTGGAAACATTCATGTAAAGAAAAGGCAGCGGACTTTCGGGCACACTCGGTCGTGACATGCGGCAACGGGCTGCAGCAGTAGCGTGGGGTGAGGCTGTGCGCTCCAAGACTAGACAGTGTGGCAGAAGAATTGGCTAAGAAAGGAAATGGAAGGAGTGTGTGGATAGAGCCCTTTTCAGACCAACTTTGGGAATCCTATTCTGTTCTTAGGTTAGAGCTAAGAAACAGAAAACTGTATGAGAAAAATTTTGTGGCCATTTCCAACAATTTAAGTGATGTTTAATGATCTTAAAAATGACTACTTGCACTATTTTGTAATTTGTTTTTTTGCTTTGTCCTCCTTCTTTACTAGCCAATAGATGAGGGACACTTGTATTTTGACAGTGGTTTCCTTATATGTAATAATTTTTGGTGACATTCTCCCATACAGACTCCCCAGTCACACACTTTTTAGGAAATGCTACAAGGGCCCCTAATGTATTCTCATACCTTCATATACCCCCTAACACATGTTACCTTGCATACTTTAGCAGCAATTTCCCCGGAGAAGTCTAAGATGTAATCAAATCTTACAAGTATATGCACATTTTGTTGCCTATTCTATGTCTCATTCCTTTTCATTTTCATGTTTCATTTTATTTCTTCATTTTAATTTCAATTAATTTATCACCCTAACCCCCTCTCCTTTGGCAATCCTCAGCTTGTTCCCTGTATCTATGGATTTGTTTGTTTTTATTTATTGGCTTTGTGTTTTTAGATTATACTTATAAATGAAATCACATGGTATTTTAATGCCTGACATGTTTCACTTAGCATAATACCCTTTAGGCACTTCCATATTGTTGCAAATGGCAAGATTCCATTCTTTCTATTTTTCCTTATTGCTGAGTAATATTGTATTGTATGTTTACCACATTTTCTTTACCGTTTCATCTATCAACAGACACCTATGATGCTTTCATATCTCAGCTATTATAAATACTGCAGTGAACAAAAGGTTGCATATATCCTTTTAAATGAGTAATTTTGTTTTCTTGGATAAATACCCAGAAGCAGAATTGCTAGGTTATACAGTAACTCTGTAGTTTTTTGAGAAATCTTCATACTTTTTTCCATAGTGGTTGTACCAGTTTACAATCCTATCATCAGTGCCAACATCCATATCGTCAGCACTTATAGTTGTTTTGACAGGTGTGAGGTGATAGCTCATTTGGTTTAATTTGCATTTCCCTGATGACTAGTGATGCTGAGCATCTATCCATGCCTGTTGGCCACTGGTATGTCTTCTTTCAAGAAATGTCTATTTAAGCCTAGTTTTTAAATTGGATCCTATTGTGTGTGTGTGTGTGTGTGTGTGTGTGTGTGTGAAGTTGTGTGAGTTCCCTATCTATTTTGGATGTTAACCCCTTATTGGATGTTATTAACAAATATTTTCTCCCATTCAGTAGGCTGTCTGTCCTTTTTCTTGATGATTTCCTCACTCTGCAAAATACTGTAGTTTGATGTGGTCCCATTTATTTTTCGCTTTTCTTTCCCGTTCCTGAGACATATGCAAAAGATGTTGCTAAGGCTGAGGTCAAAGAGTTTACTTCTATGTTTTCTTCTGGTTTTATGGAATCAGGTCTTACATTTAAGTCTTTTATCCATTTTTAGTTTTGTATACGGTGTAAGAAAGCAGTCCAATTTCATTGTTTTGCATGCATCTCTCAAATGTTTCCAATGCAACTTAAAGTGATTGTCTTTACCCCACTGTATATCCTAGCCTCCTCTGTCATAGATTCACTGACCATAATAAGCAACAATTTCTGGGTTATTTTCTTCTATTGTTTACATATCTGTTTTTATGCCAGTATCATACTGTTTTGACTATTGTTGCTTTGTAGTATAGTTTGAAATAAGGGCGTGTGATACCTTCCACTTCATTCTTTCTCAAGATTTCATTGGCTTTCAAGGTCTTTTTTGGTTCCATATAAATTTTACAATTAGATGTTCCAGTTCTGAGGTGAACGCCATTGGTATTTTGTTAGGAATAGTACTGAATCTGTTTATTACTTTAGTTAGTAAGAACATTTTAGCAATATTAATTTTTGCAATCAATAAGCATATACCTTTCCATGAGATTTATATATATCATTCTATAATTTAAGCTTATAAAAACTTAAGAATGAATATATTCTTAAAGGACTGCATTGTTAATATCCCCTTAAATGCTTTATCTTTTTTATGTCATACTGTAGATTTTTTTGTTTTGTGTATATCTTAGTTATTGGAGTTTGATACTTTTGTCTTTGAACTTTGTAGTAGCTTTTGAAATGTCTGATTTGCTGCATGTATTAAATAAAAATATTTTCCTTTATCATATTTTCTTATTCTGGTTGTGGCCTTTCCTTTTCTGCTTAAATAAAATATTTTAACATTTCTTATTAGGCTGTTTTAATGGAGATGAAACTCCTTTAGCTTTTGCTTCTCCAGGAAACTCTTAATCTCTCCTTCAATTCTGAATGATAACCTTGCCAGGTATATTATTCTACATTGTAGGTTCCTACATTCTGGCTGGTACAACTGCTGCTGAGAAACCAGCTTACAGCCTTCTGGGGTTTCCACTGCATGAAGCTAGTTGTTCTCTGCTGCCTTTGCAACTGTCTCTTCATCTTTAACATTTGCCACTTTAATTGCAAAGCAGTATGCTTTGGTTTGGGTCTCTTGGGTTCATGTTTGGAACTCTCTGTGCATCCTGGACCTGGATGTCTGTTTCTTTGCTCATGAAGTTTTACTATTATTTGTTCAGATAAAGTTTCTGTACCTTTCTCTTTTTTCCTTCTTCTAACATCCTTATAATGCAAGTTTTTGTGAACTTGATGTTATTCCAGAGGTCCCTTAAACTATCCTCATTTTTAAAAATCTTTTTTTAATTTTTGCTGTTCTAATTGGCTAATTTCCACTAGCCTGTCTGTCTTACGGGCCACTGATTCATTCTTCTGTATTAACTAATCTGATGCTGATGCCTTTTAGTTATTTTTCATTTCAGTTATTGCATTCTACAGCTCCACTTGGTTCTTCATTATACTTTCTCTTCATTGAAGTCCTTTGTAAGTTCCTCTGTTCCACTCTCAAGTTTGATAAGCACCCTTATAACTGTTTCTTTCGATTCTTTATCAGGCAAATTATTTATCTCCATTTCATTAGGGTTTCTTCTGACACTTTTTGTTTCTTCATTTGAGAGACTTGCTTTTGTTTTCATTGTGTGAGTTCCTATGTTTGTTAATATGAATTAGACAAAATAGCCATTTCTCCCAGTCTTGATACAATGGCTTTGTGTAGAAGTGACCTCTGTATAGTGTGTGCCAGATGATTTTTGGCAGGGTGCTTAGAGCCGAGGAGATGCCTACAGCATCTAAGGTGTGGGCCTAGTGAGACAGGATCCAGGCAGGTGTGTACTCTATTGATCCTACTTCCTCCTGTTGGAGTTGAAATTGGCTCCTAATTCAGCAAACTTACAGGTAGGCCAGAGCACCTATATAGAGCTCCCATCCACCCTATCAAGGTGTAGAGGGACATATACAATGGTTCTCACTGGCAGCTCTAACCTCAGAGATTTCTCTATTGCTCTTGCAGCTTGCCTTCTCTATCAGATCTCTCTCCTTTTTGGTGTATGGAACGTGGTCTTGTGAAGAAGTAACCTTGTATAGCTTGTGAGCGCTGGGCAGTTTTGGCAGCCTAGTTGGAGCCAGGCAGGTGTCAGGGGATCTACCTTGTCAGGCTGGAAGAGCCCCAATTAGAGACACCTTGTTCATCCTGCTTGCTCCTTTTATTTGAACCCAAAATGGGCTACGGGGAGTATGGTTGGAACACACTGCAGTGATCTTGCAGGCAGGCCAAAACACCCAGATGGAGCTCCCACTCACCTCATCAAGGTGGAGGGGCTGTATGCAATGGAGTTTACTGGCACTTCCTCTCTGGAAGAGTTCCTGAAGATCCTGGACAGCCCCTGCAGTTTCCCAGATTTCTCTAGTTGGTCTCCTCTTGTTTATTCTTCAGTAGTTATTCAATCAGTCCTCGGCTGCCAGAAATCAGGAGTTACTGATTTCTGTATAGGTGCATATTTTGATGTGCTTGTGGGAGGAGGGGAGTTTACTGTCCACCTACACCATGGACTTTAGCACCCACCTACACGAGGGACATCCTCAACCTCCTTACTATTTTGTACTTTGACATGAAGTCTGTAGAAGGACAACTGTATTCCCAAATTATCATAAATACAAGTTTATATCAAGTCCACTTCGTGCCAAGTTTTAACAGCAACTTGTTGATTTATGCTTGGGATTAACTGTGCATGGTGCCCTCCTTCCAGAGTAACCTCTACAAACAGTGAAGAAACTACATGCACTGTAGTTTTGTAAAGGAGTTTCTAAGGCAACAATGGTCAGCTTGCAGTAAGGGGGTGTGCGAAGACTATAAACATTAAACAGTTCAAAGAATATAAGATAAATCTTTACTTTCTTAAAAGGAAAGCAGGGTAAAGCTACTAGGTATTACCCCACATACTTTTTAGAACATATACATAGATGAGGAGTCTTTAAAAATCCAATGATCTAAAACAGGAGAAAAGGTTGCCTATAAACTTCATTGTATTTCTTCAAATTTCAAATACATTGGCACATCAGTAACAGTCTTCACCCTGGTTACTCAAAGCACAGCCTAGGTCCAGCAGCAGCATCACTTGGAGCTCATTAGATATGGAATCTCAGATCACTAATGGTACTTAACCTTTAATGTGGAGGTTAAATTGATGCTCAGATAATTTGTCACTTTTAAAGAACCATTAAGTGATAGATAGAGTGTTTGATTCAAACTTAAGAACCTTTAACTATTTTGCCCTAGCTGCTGTGGCTCAGTGGATTGAGCACTGGCCTGTGAACCAACGAGTCACCAGTTCGATTCCCAGTCAGGGCACATGCCTGGGTTACGGGCTAGGTCCCCAGTTGGAGGTGCGGCAAGAGGCAACCACACATTGATGTTTCTCTCCCTCTTCCTCCCTCCCTTTCTCCAAAATAAATAAACAAAATTAAAAAAAAAAAAAAAAAGAACCCTGTACTATTTTTATGCACTGACATTTTTAAACAAATAAAAAAGTAAGGGACATAAAGCTATATTGTTTTGCTTTCTTTAGAAGTTATTTCTACTTAACCCTTTTGGAATTATATAAGTATTTAACTGACAGTTTTCCCTACTCAGACTGATGTGCATATGTGATTAAAAAATATTACTGGAAGAGAAATCATATATGCATAGCATGTGTTATATAAATACTTAAGATTCAAATGAAGGAATTGTGGGTATTTAAAAAAACCCCGTAATATGAAAGAAGTTTGAGCTCTTTGAGTGCAGAATGTACTTTTATTACAGAGCTCAAACCTAATGATCAAAATAAAAGAAAAATACATATATCATAAAATCATGAATACCAAAATGCCTAAAATTAATGATTTGATTACCAGGCTACTACCAAAATAACTGGGAAGAACAAATAACTAAAAACCAGAAATTTCAAAGCATCTAATCTTGGTCTGTGCTTTAAAGCACATAATGTTGATTTATGCTCCAGGATTTATTCTCTTTCATTAAATTATAAATTATTTCATTAGAATTTAAGTTTGATGCTTAAGAACCCTATGACCTTATATGAATTTGTATTATTTTTATTTTCTGTTTCCCATCTTATAAATAGAAAGACAGATAAAGTTAATGAGGTGCCTTGTAAATCTTACCCCTTTCAGTATGTTAAACCCCATCAGTTTTCCTGAAACATAGTAAATTAAGAGAACATAAGAGGGAAATCAAATAGTGTTGCTTTTAATTCCCCAGTTCAACTTGTATAAATAACAACTCCAAATGGAAAAAAAAAATCAAATTGGGTATTTGATGACATCTACATACCTTCTTAGAACTACTTAAATAAAAATGACAAATGGAAATTTTCATTAAAAAATTCCAGTGAATATACCTGTCAAAATTTCCACAGTGAACAATTTTAAATTTATTCCTAGGCACCATTCCAGTTGAGAATGTAGGGTATACCTAGGGTGTGGAAGGCCCCATCATGGTCCATGATTTATTGCAGAACTTAAACCATAAATCCTACAGGAATTTTTCTTATAGATGTAATAGCTGAAGCAACACTGCAGATTTCTCTTGTTATAATGATAGCAAAAGTAGCTATAACTATTTTTAGTAAAGAAATGCAATTCTGATGGCACAGTCATGCACACACATTAAAAACTGCATGCGATACAGAGTGCAAACAAAAGCTGCACAAAAGCACGTGAAGAGTGAGAAGCACCAATATGTTCAAGAAATAAGCTTTAATTTACCCTTTCTTCTTCTTGTGAAGGGACAGGAGGCCACCGCCAATTATTGCAATGACAGCAACTACAACAAACCAAAGAACAAATGAAATGTAACTGACAACTAATTACCAATATTAAAAACATAGCAGAAGAAACTACCATTGGTTACAGTTCAATGGTCAGAAAGTGCTCTTTTATTTAACTACATATACATTTATATTCCATCTGGAGTCTTCACCATCTAAATCTAATTCCCTGGAATCACTTAAACAGTCCACAGGAAGTCAGAGAAGAGTCCTCGCTTAATATAGAAAATTACCCAAAACACAGGACTAATCATCTTGAAAAGACATCTGTTATTTACGATTTGTTACTAAGTAAACATATAAAATGTAAATGAATATATAATCACCAACACAAGGAAGTATGTCATATAAGAGGAGAGGTGTTCCTAGATTGGTTAACTTAATTTCAAGCTATAAAAACTGTAGAAGTTGAAAAATCCATTAATAAATAATGCTCTTCTTCGCATTCTTGATTTAAGTGGCATCCAAATTGGGATACTTACCCACAGAAATAACAATTGCAGCAATTCCTCCGGCACCTGAGAAAAAAAAAAAACCAGTTTGAAGATAACTGAGCACATGTGAGTCTCTAGAGAGCAATTACATTTTAGTTCATCAGATCATCTATACACTACAGTAGAGAAAAAAGTTATCAATTTAGTTTAGTGTCACAGTGGTAGTGCATGAAGCTCATTTTGATCACAGAACCCTTATAATTGACTCCAGGCTTAGGGTCCAACATTGTTTTGTGCTGTAGCCACCACACCAGGTTAATGAGTAAAGGTTGCTACTAGGACAATCAGAATTCATTGGATTAGTGGAAAATTGTTTTAAAAATGTATTATCCCATTAGAGTTGATTTAGTTCTGTATTCAGTCTGTCCCTTCTTATGATTTTTATTACAAAACTAATTTATATGTGTCTACCAACAGAGGATCTGTGCAATAAGTCATAATGAACTTCCATTAATTATACAAATGTGATTATCAGAATTGACACAAGCAATATGCTATCATCAATCTTCCCTCATGCACCTCCACCCCCAATCTAAGACATACCAAGGAGATTCTAAAAATGCAAAAGAAACACTCAAGCACAAGGACAAAAATTATGCTTAGAAACTTAAACATGCATTTTTTGACTATCCAGAGTAATAACACTACATAATCTTAATCTTTACAAATGCTGGTCAGTAGCACCTCTGCTTTTAAACTGGCATTATTTTTATTAAATTTCTGTATGTCAAAGCATACAATGTCATGTTTGCCTTTGCTCTTTTCATTTCATAAAAATTATCAAGTGTGTGGCATCTTAGGATGGCCCTGGGTTCACTGGCAGAATGACGGTTTGGCAGCAGTGTTCAGAGGGGAGACACAACAAGCCTAAGGTGCATTTTATAAAAAGATAACCCTTACTAAGCTAGTCTAATGTAAGAAAGGTAATACACATATCTCTTCATTTAGTTATCAAGTAATCTTTATATTTCATTTAAATGACATAACTATACTTTATAATTTTCTTGAACACATATGATGTGAACCGTGAGCCTACACAAAGTGTGCTATACCAGCTCATTCTGAAAAAACATTAAACCAATATATAATACTTTAAGGCTTGGGTGTACAAGGTATGACTAAAAAGAAAACTTATCTACCAACTGCCATCGCAGTGACATTATCACATGGAAAGTAAGTTATATTCTATAAATTTTAACCTACATAGAAACACAGCAATTGAGAAAGTTATCTCACCCTACTAGGAATTCTAATTTGAGGAACCTCTTGAAAACTGTATTACTTACACGTGTCTACACATACTAGTGCTTACATTTGTCATAGTATCTGTACTGTTAAAATGAGTACAAATGTCAATTATCACTCACTTGTGACAGGCTGTTTCTTTAACTACAGATAATCAAAATATGATCATTTCAAACTTTAAGGTCAAATAATGCAGTGTTAAAAAACAAAATAATACCTAAAGCATCAGCTGGTGGACTATGAGTTGGTGGACTAAGAGTTGATGGTCCAGGAGCTGGTCCTAGAAGAAAAAAAATTGAAATTAAGGAAGAAAAAAGATAATAAAGACTGAAGACCTCTAAATTATAGGTTTAGAACTTTTGCCTTTAAAGGAAAACTCTTATAATTTTACTTTCCTTATATAAATGATATTAATGTTTCTAATTTATAAGTAGTATAAAAAACATTATAAATTTATATTCAATGTCATCAGAATACTTTTTCCTGTCTAGTAATTCTTCCTATAATAATGTTCTGTGGTACAGCAATCAAATTTATCATGGACTATTGTTAAAATTAGCCCATGGACTGATGTGATACTATGTAAGATGAAAAGATGTTGGAAGGCTTAAAAAAAAATTTAGAAGTTGATCTGCAGTAGAAGGACACTTCCACAAAATAAAGGCCCTTTATGAAACACCAACAGCTGCCCTGGCTGGTATGGCTTAGTGGAGTAAGTACTGGCCTGCTGAACGAAAGGTCACGGTTCCATTCCCAGTCGGAGGGGCACATGCCTGGGTTGAGGGCCAGGTCCCCAGTTGGGGGCGTGTGAGATGCAACCAATCAATGCATCTCTTGCACATCATTGTTTCCTTCTCTTTCTCCCTCCCTTCCCCTCTCTCTTAAGTAAACAAATCCATAGCTAACATCATACTCAATGGTGATGGACAAAGTTGTTGCCTTAGGGTCAAAAACAAGATGGGATGCTTGCATTTCCTACTTCTGCTGAACAGCACACTGGAAATTTTAGTCAGAGCAATAAATCAAGACAAAGAAATAAAGAGCATCCATATTGGGAAGGGAAAACTAAAATGCTTGCTACTGAAGATGATGTCATCTTTTACATGCAAAACTCTAAAGATTACAAACACAAACACACATGTGCCCACACAAACACAAACCTGTCAGAATAAATTCAGCAAACTTTCAGGCTACATAATCTACACTCCCAAATTAGTTACACTTCTATACACTAAAAATAAACAATCCAAAAGGAAATTATGAAAACAATTCTATTTACAATAGCATAAACACTACAATACTTAGGAATAAACTTAACCAAGGAGGTGAAAAACTCCTACAACTGAAAACCACAAAATACTGCTGAAAGAAATAGAAGTCAACATAAACAGAAAGACTGAAATACTTAATATTGTTAAGATGTTAATACTACACAAAGTAATCTTGAGGTTATGTCCAATCCCTATCCCATCTTAAATATTCATATTTCATAAATAGAAAAATCCAACCTATAATTCATGAAATCCAAGGGTCTAAGACTACCCAACACCATCTTGAAAAACAACAGCATTGATGCGAGGGCTCATACTACCTGATTTTAAAACTTACTAAGAAGCTACAGTACTCAAAACAGCAGTATCAGCATAAAGACAGGCACAGAGACCAAGTGAACAGACAGCCCAGAAATAAACCCTCACATAAACAATCAAATGCCCACAAGGGTGCTAAGAATACTTAATGGGGAAAGGACAGTCTTTTCAACAAATGGTTCTTGGAAAACTGGGTATCTACATACAAATGAATGAACTTGGTCTCCTGCCTTCTACCATACACAAAAATTACTTCAAAATGTATCAAAGAACTAAACATAGGAGCTAAAACTGTAAAACTCTTAGAAGAAAACAGAGGGCAAAGTTCATGATGCTGGATTTGGCAATGATTTCTTAGATGTGACACTAAAAACAGGCAACAAAGGGAAAAAATGGATATATTGGACTTCTCAAAATTACAAACTTTTGTTTATCAAAAGAGTGAAACGGTAATCCAAGAAGGACATGACATTTCTGCAAATCATAAATCTGACAAGGGATTAATACCCCAAATACATAACAGAAAATAACAAGTGTTTGCAGGTGGAGAAATTGGAAGCTTGGAGTATTGCCAAGGGGAATGTAAACTTTATAATAAAAACTGGCATTTCAAAAACACTTGGACAGACAGCTTATTCAAGAAATGGAGGTGGGTGGAGTAAAAGGGAACCCTATCTCAGTCCACATACCATAAGAATTTTGGATGAAATTAAACTCAAAGAATGTATTCACGATGCATGTTTGAAATGTTTATGTAATTTCAGCATGGGGAAGACCTAAAGCTTTTGTAACAAAGACAACACTCATAGCCATTAAGAAAAGATCAATACATCTATCTACCTATTAGTGTAAACTTCTGCACATATACATGACCACTCATAGACTAAAAGTCACAGTTTTAGACATACATGAACAGCACGATACCATTGTTGTTTAAGAAAAAAGAGAAGATGCCAAAATATGTGTGCCTACACATACTGGATATTGATGTAAAGAAACAAAGACACCTAAACTATTAAGTGATAAACTCAGGTCATGGGCTAGAGAAAGAGAGTATCTTTTATTCTGTATGCTTTATTAATGTTTGAAATTTTAAAAGTTTATATTCATATACTAGTTATGTAATTAAAAGGTATAAAAGTCAATCTATACTTAATAGTAAAAAACCTTAAAAGAAAACTGACTAGTAAAAAACAAGGCAAAAAAACAAACACAAAAAAAACAAAAACAAAAAATAACCTTAGAAAGAAATGTTTACTTCAGGTTAAAAAGGCTGCAATTTATGAGTTCTGACAAATCAACACAAGTAACTTAGAAACCTAATAGACAAATGAACAAAGGACACAAATAAATAATGTAAACCAAAAACTCATCTTCACTGATAATTAAAGGGATGCAAATTAATGCATGACATAATTTTCCACCTGTCAGATTATAAACTTCTTAACAAGTTAAGTGAATAAGGAGTTTTGAACCTGGATGACTTGTGCTTGGAGGCTTGGCTGAAGTAACAGGACCTGGAAAAATCAATATGATTCCATTCATCGGCCATGTTAATACACTATTATGGATTTAATTTTGATTTTTTGATTCTCTTCAAAAAGGTTAATTAGTCATGAAGATGAAAAATACACATATGTTCTAAACTTTGTAATTCTACTTCTGGGAATTTAACCTAAAAATATGTTCACAAAAATACGTAAGATGTATACATAAGGTTCGCTAACTGTGTATTTTACAATGGAAACCATAGGAATTAATTAATAATAAATCATAAATCAAGTGTTCAGAATAAACATATGTATCTTAAAAAATACTAATCAAGTATTATTGTAGTATAGTATATAATTTCTACTCTTTTCTTTTCCCTTAGTATTTCTTGGATATTTTTTCATATTAGCAGAATTAGAGCTACCTTACCATCATTATATGTTGTTAATGAACCTTAAGATCAATACATCTATCTACCTATTAATGTAAACTTCTGCACATATACATGACCACTGATAGACTAAAAGTCACAGTTTTAGACATATATGAACAGCACGATACCATTGTTGTTTAAGAAAAAAGAGAAGATGCCAAAATATGTGTGCCTACACATACTGGATATTGATGTAAAGAAACAAAGACACCTAAACTATTAAGTGATAAACTCAGGTCATGGGCTAGAGAAAGAGAGTATCTTTTATTCTGTATGCTTTATTAATGTTTGAAATTTTAAAAGTTTATATTCATATACTAGTTATGCAATTAAAAGGTATAAAAGTCAATCTATACTTAATAGTAAAAAACCTTAAAAGAAAACTGACTAGTAAAAAACAAGGCAAAAAAACAAACACAAAAAAAACAAAAACAAAAAATAACCCTAGAAAGAAATGTTTACTTCAGGTTAAAAAGGCTGCAATTTATGAGTTCTGACAAATCAACACAAGTAACTTAGAAACCTAACAGACAAATGAACAAAGGACACAAATAAATAATGTAAACCAAAAACTCATCTTCACTGATAATTAAAGGGATGCAAATTAATGCATGACATAATTTTCCACCTGTCAGATTATAAACTTCTTAACAAGTTAAGTGAATAAGGAGTTTTGAACCTGGATGACTTGTGCTTGGAGGCTTGGCTGAAGTAACAGGACCTGGAAAAATCAATATGATTCCATTCATCGGCCATGTTAATACACTATTATGGATTTAATTTTGATTTTTTGATTCTCTTCAAAAAGGTTAATTAGTCATGAAGATGAAAAATACACATATGTTCTAAACTTTGTAATTCTACTTCTGGGAATTTAACCTAAAAATATGTTCACAAAAATACGTAAGATGTATACATAAGGTTCGCTAACTGTGTATTTTACAATGGAAACCATAGGAATTAATTAATAATAAATCATAAATCAAGTGTTCAGAATAAACATATGTATCTTAAAAAAATACTAATCAAGTATTATTGTAGTATAGTATATAATTTCTACTCTTTTCTTTTCCCTTAGTATTTCTTGGATATTTTTTCATATTAGCAGAATTAGAGCTACCTTACCATCATTATATGTTGTTAATGAACCTTTCTTTAACTGATAACAAAAAATAATTTACAGGACCAGGAAGAAATTTTGATTTTTCATATTTTAAAAAAACCTGTAGTTATACACTTTCCTCACAATCAATGTTTTATAAATCCTTTATGAATTCTTATAGTCCACTCTTTCAAAAGAGCACATCAACCAACATAGTCTAGCCCTGTTTGGTGTGGCTCAGTGGACTGAGTCCCAGGCTGGGAACCAAAGGGTCACTGGTTCGATTCCCAGTCAGGGCATATGACTGGGTTGGGGGCTAGGTCCCCAATAGTGGGTGTGCAAGAGACAACCACAAACTGATGTTTCTCTCCCTAAAAATAAACATAGTCCATCACAGTGCATATACCCACTAGGACCATGTGAGTAAACATGGAATGGTCCATGAGTATAAAATTCACATGCAATCTTAATATATCCACCAGGAAAACAGTTTTCCCCTCACTCCCATACCTCACAGCACTCAACTAAGATACTCATAGAGACTACCAGGTATAAAAAGGTGTTTCAACTACCACTTTAACATGCATAACTCCCCTCAATGCTTTCAAGTGTTAAAACAACAGAAAATATACAAGCACAAGCACATTAGAAGCCAATGATTGAGATCTGAGTTCAAACACCCTCATTAAGCAACAGGTAATGAAAGCCCACAGAAATGATGTTCCGTGAATGAGCAGAAACAAACGAGGGCCTCGAGTGACGTCAGCCCAGGCTAATGCTCTTCCCACTATCCCTCTTGTGTCATTTCTGCTGAAACCAAAGCCAGCGATAGCAGCACCAAAATCAGGAGGACAGTTCCTTCCACCACTGAAATAATCTCTCAGTCTTAAGCAGAGCAGCTGATCATGCAAGTCCATGCAAGAAATATTCCACTTTATTTCAGTAAATAAGGTCTTTTCCTGCCTGTCATTGAGTGTGAAATTTAGTTTCTGTTCTAAGGTAAAAATGCCCAGTAAAGACAAAAGAATACTTGTATGGGCAGGGGGTAAATAGTGGAAATACTGGTCTTGTTCAAGACACAGCAGAAATTTCCCAGTTTAAATGGTTTTATTTATATATATATATAGAATGACTATATATATATATATATATATATATATATATATATATATAAAGACAATATATATATACATTACAGTCCAAAAAATGAAGCACAGTCCTAGACCTGGAAGATACCCTGTAAAGATGTCACCAGATCACTTTTAAAATGAATGAAATAGTAAAGTTGATGACAGAAAATATATTGAAAAACAGAAGCCATGACCTTTTTGTTCACTAATCTAATCAGTGATACTGTAAGTCACATGAGCTTCCTTTAAGAACTACAAGAACTTCTCATATTCCAGGCACTGTGCTAATTGTTTTTAATGCATCCCACTTAAAAAGTACTACCATCTAGTGAGGAAAGTATTAAATAATTTTCATATAAATAAACACATTTAAAGTTTACATAACTTTCCCAGTTAACATAGCTGTTTCTATCTGAGGACTATGGCAAATAATTTTAGAATCACTAAGTGTAACAACTAGAATGGCTCTAAATATGTTCTTCTGTCTTTCATTACTAAAAATGATGAATGAGTGTAAATTATCAGATACTTAAAAGATTTTTAAATGTATAAGCAGAAGTTACTAAACCTGTGACAGTGGAAACTGGAGGTGTTGTGCTGGGAGGAGTTGGTACTGGAAAACAAAATAATGTTAACCACTCAGGAATTATTGTTCTTTCACCGATATAAATTCATGAGTTATTTAGATGAAAATATTCATGCTTCAATTTTCTTAAAAATGGTTGCTACCCAATGTTATACATAAAAAAGGCTGAAGAAAAATTTATATACCTGTGTGAAATACATAACATACTAACCCTATGAAAATATGCAAAATAACAAAAGCAGAATTCTTTGTGAATTTTACATGTCAAGACATAATTAAATATGAAAACTGCTTCATTTCAATTACTCTGTAACATTTATATTTAATATCAAAGAAATAAAACATAAACAAAAAAGAAACAGGCACTCTGTACCACTAATGCACTCTGGTGGTTGTGGTTCCCATTCACTGTTAGCTCCGCAGACGACTGTCTTGCTGCCTTGTGGGTGAAAACCCTCCTTGCATCCAAGTAGAACCTTGTCTTGGTACGAAAATTGTACTTTATGTCCTGACAACAGTTGTCCATTCTTCGGGACTGGAGACTTACATCTGACTACTGCAAAGTGAAGAAATTTCAGAATGAATGGAAAGCTGGTTAAATACAGGATGTTCATTATAGATATTGTTTTTAATGTTCCTGAAATGTTTCTGTCTGGTTTTAGTACCAGGGCAATGCAGTCCTCATGAAGTATGGTGAGAAGAGTCCCTCCACCCCCTTTTGTATTTTCCTGAAGAGTGTGTAGACCTGCTAGTATGTATTCTTGAAATGTCTGATAGTTCCCCAGGGGGAACAGTCTTTTTATGAGAAGGTTTAAGTTGTGAAATTTCTAGGCATAAAGTTGTGTTATTCTCTTTTATCCTTTAAATATCTGTTGGATATATCTGTGATGTCACTGTTTTAATTCTTGATATTGATTACTTGTGTTTTCTTTTTTTCTTGTCAGACTGGTTATATGTTAAAATATTTTATTGTTCTCCTCCAAGAACTACGTGTTAATTTCATCAATTCACTCTACTATTTTCTATTTTCAGTTTCATTGATTTCTATCTGTATTCTTTCCTTTTGTTTCCTTGTATAGAGTACAATTTGCTCTTCTCTTTTTAGGTTCATAAGGTGGAAACTTAGATTACTGATGAGACATTTCCCCTTTTCTGATACAGGCATTCCATGCTGTTCATATCTTGTTAAGCACTGCTTTTGCTGTATCCCCAATATTTTGATATATTGATATGTTGTATTTTTATTTTCATTCAATTTAAAACACTTTCTAATTTTGCTTGTAAAGTCTTGTTTCATTGGTTAAAAGTGTCTTGCATAATTTTCATATATTTGGGGATTTTATAGATATCTTTATTTTGGTTTCTACATTCATTCCATTGTGATCAGATAATGTACAGTAAATGATTTCAATATTTTGAAATTTGTTAAAATTATCTTAATGCCTAGAATATGTAATTAGAGAATGTTCCCTTTGCACTTGATGAGTAATTCTTTTGGTATTATTCAGTGGTTCCTTTCTTTCAAGAGTCAAACACCCTCCAGTGCCTTCCTGTTTTAAGTCATGCTCTATCTAGTGCCTTAAACATTATTTTTAAAGTACAGGCATATGTCAAAGATATAGCAGGCTTGGTATCAAGCCACAGCAATAAAACAAATATTGTAATAAAGCAAGGTATAATGTTTCTGCTGGTGAGGGTCTTGCCTCCAATTTTTAAAAAGCACAACATCTGTGAAACACAATAAAGCCAAGTGCAATTAAACAAGGTTTGCCTATATGTTTCATCCAGAGTTTAGCAATCTTATTGGTGAGATGAGTCTTTTATAATTTACTCTTCTGTTTTCTCTAGCCAGAACTCTTAGACATCCTGTAATACAAAATAAATCTGTTATTTTTAAGCCGATGTGTGTTGAGTATTTGATACTTTGAAACAAACAAAAAAATCCCAACTCATGCATCTACACCGTAATTCACAATGTATAAATTGGAATGTCAAGAATGTGTGATGAAGGCTGAGGAACTTCACTTTTTAAAAGTTAAATTAGAAACCAACAACAGAGTAACCAAGCACATAAGGGTTGTTTTGTTTACTTGTTGATAAAGTATTTATAAAATATTTCCATACTATTTACAAATGAAGAAATAAACAAAAATACTATTACCTTTGCACTCAGGAGGGTTACTACTCCATAGATCATGCCCAGTACAAATAAGCGTGCTGTTTCCAATAAGTGAGTATATATTTGATGCACAACTATAAATTACTACTTCATTATATTCATATGATTCCTTCTGGGTATTGGTGATGCCATTTTCTATTTGTTTAGGTGGCCGACACAAAATCTCTTAAAAAGACAAAAGAGAGAGAAGAGGACAGGAAAGGCAAAAGAAAAAATAAAAGATTAAGACACCAATAGTAATGTCCACTGAATTTCCTTCAATAAATTCATTAACATATTATTTCTATAATCTAATTGTAAATCAAGGATCCATTTAGAAGAAAGTTTCTTTGAAAAAAAATGTATTATCTTTTTTCATTTTCATCCATAAGAGTATATGGTGAACCTATGCCAATGGTACAAATAGTGTGTTAATGCAGTAACCAAATCCTGAAGTCTTCCTTTAAAAAGCCAGTTCTTAATGAGATTTACAAACATGTGAAGCAATGCCACTATTTTCACTATTTGGCAAATTGTGGTTTTTCATAAATAAATATATTGCATATATTAACATGTACTGTGCTTACTGTTCTTAATAATGAATTAATAAATATTATTTTTAAAACTTTTAAGTTTTAACTCCAATGTAATGAATAGCAATAGCCATATCACACCTGAAGAGAGTTATGTGGGGTCTTTTTAATTTAAAAGCATAAAGTCAAGCCAAGGCCAAAAGTTTGAGAATGACTGCTGTAAATTCTAAAGACAGAGTATACTTACTTTCACATTGTGGGGGATCAGCACTCCAATCCACAGTATTTCCAGAGAGCTCGCAATACAGAGTTGCTTCTCCAACTAAGTGATAACTAAATAAGAAAAAAAAAAGATTAGTTTTGTTTTGTTTTTTACCAGTTAATATGATGCACTTAATAATGAAGAAAATTCTATATGGTAGTTTTTCTGCACTACAGTAGTTTGAGGGAGAAGTTTCTTAAACACCTATAATGAAAGTACTAACTAAATCTACGATTTAATAAAGAGTTTCTGCCTTTGAGCACACTCTGACCTAGAGCAAATTATTTACATATGTGCCTGTCAATCTGGCCTCTTTGCTATCTCCAGCAGACACATCAACATTCATGTCTGTGTCCTAGTTCATGCCATTCCACCCAGTCAGGACAACGACTGTGTAGACAAGTCAGGCCCTAGAGCTTCCCTGCCTGGATTTGAGTCCCAGCTCCACAACTGACTTATTGTTTGAGTTGGGCAATGGTTAATGGTTCTCTTTCTCAGCTTCCTCATCTATGAAAAGGGGATAATAGTATAAAGCTCGTGGGATTGTTGTGAGTAGTAGATGAGTTAGCATGGGTAATAACATAGTGAGTGCTGCATGAGTTTTAAATCTTATGAATATTCTTCAGATCAGAGTATCTTCCCAGAAGCCCTACTTGATGAAATCTCTAATGACTTAAATTCATAGTATTCTCCTCTGGACTGTCATTGTAATGACAACAAACACACGTATTTCTTTGGTAGTTCTCATTTACATTTGCTTTGACATCTATTTATATTGTGCTTCTCAATAAGGCAAAAACTTCTTTGAAAAGAGTCTATGTCTTAATCTTTTGGTACTCCTCAAAGTGCCTACTACTGGGAGCTGCCCTGCCTGGTTTCAGGAGCTGTAACCCCCTCCTCCCCAATGGCTAAGGCTGAATGAGCGACCTTCAGACCATAATCCACTAAGGAGACAAAGCTTATTTCCCTGGCAGGAGCACCACTTCTGCTCCTTTTTCCATAACTGGTCCCCAGTGCTTGATCAGTTAGCCAATGACGGGTAAGAGTCCCCAAGGGGGGAACGACCTAAGACAGGCATGATCATGTGGAGGCCCCAGGGAAGGACTTGGGGGGCTATGGAGAAAGGGGTGATGGACCCTTGCCCCTTGGCTTTGACAAAGCCTGAGTTCTCATTCTGCCTGTGAGAAGTCTCCTAACTTCCTGGCTATTTTGCCTCCTCTGCCTGACCTAATCCTGAAACAATGACAGAGGGCAGTGCAGCCCTGTGCTGGATAGGGCAGGTTCCCCGGGTGATCAGGCCTGAGAAAGAATACATAAACTCCTATGAAACCTGCTTTGCTAAGAATGCTCTCAATTAAATGATAAGGGTCCAAGCAGAAAATGAGTTTGTTCCTCAAAGTTTTATGGCTCTTTAGCTAACAGACCCTGACTCAGAATAGGCCCTCAGAGTTCTTGATATGTTATCTATTGTTTGATCCTTACTGCCTGACAATGACTAATGAACTTTACCTGTATTCCTGGACAATTTAAAAGCCAATAAAAACCCTGTGAAGGCAAGGATTGGGGTACTCTCCTTTGAGAGAGTAGCCAGGTCACTCCGAGGCACCCTCCCCTTGAGAAGGTAGCTGTGCCGTCCCTTTTCCTCCGCAGGACTCGGTAGTCCATGTGAATTTAACTCATGTCTCATCCATAACGCCAAGGGTACTGCCGGCCGGCCACAGCCTACCAGTTTCTAACTTTAAACTAGATATTTTTACTGAAGTAAAAACATAGTCAGTGAAAGTGCTTATAGCTGTTTCCAGCTGACTATTCATTCGTTCAAGGCTCACTCATTGGTTCTATAATACAATGTATTAGGAGAGGATTCAGGGATGATGATAGGGTAGCAAGCAACAAGAATCTGTCTTTCCATCTACACCACAATTACAGTCCTAGAATCTGCATGATGTAGCTATTTTGGAACTCTGGAGTCCCTAGAAAGCTTGTAATTTCTAAGGGAGGACTTGGACAGGGAAATTGCATTAACATCAGTCACTTTCAGTTCTCAGCACACTGGTGGTCACCCATCCCACTTCAATAGCAGGCAGCTGTGTGTTCCTGGTGTAGCTTATAAGCAGCCTGCAGGAACCAGGGAGGGAAAAAAGAACCCTATCCTCACAAATATCCAGAATCTCTGCTCTTATTACTCACTGCTGCTTCTGACAGAGAAAAGTAAATAAAGAGGTGGGAAGTCCATATTATCACATGCCTCCACTACTGCAAGCCCATTCATTGCCTACTGAAGTGACTTCTGGAAATTGAAAGATCCAGCGTCCTTTGCTCTGCCCTTCAATTTTCACTTTTTCCTCTTTCAGAAGCCTGACATTAAATCTAGGACATGCAACCCTGGCTGTTGTGGCTCTGTTTGTTGGAGCATTGTCCAGTAAACCAAAGGGTAGTGGGTTAGATTCCCAATCAAGGCACATACAAGAGGTGACCAATGTGGTTTCTCTCTTGCATCTATGACTCTCTGTACATCTGTCTCCCCCTGTTCCCATCTCTAAAATCAATAAGCATGTCCTTGGGTGAGGATAAAAAACTAGGACATGACATACATAGCATGAGTTAAGTGACTGAACACGTCTGGGGAAGGCACAGAAAAGACCTTCAGTTTATGTATCAGGCTGATCCTCAGACCCTGCAAGAGTCAAAACACCAAAATGAACTAGAGAAAATAACAAGCCCTGGGAAGGAGAATTTGATTTCCAGAGTTACTTCATTATTAGATTCAAGTGTGAGGTTCAAGAAAGAAATAACAAGGCATACAAAGAAACTGGAGAGTGTGATACATTAAAGAAAGTAAATTAACAGAAATCACCCCTGCCCTGGCTGGCATAGCTCAGTGGATTGAGCGCGGGCTGCGAACCAAAGTGTCGCAGGTTCGATTCCCAGTCAGGGCACATGCCTGGGTTGCAGGCCATAGCCGCCAGCAACCACACATTGTTTCTCTCTCTCTCTCTCTCTCTATCACCCTCTCTTCCCTCTCTAGGGATAAATAAATAAAATCTTAAAAAAAAAAATCATCCCTGAAAAAAACCTTATTACAGATTAAACAAACAAACAAAAAAGACTTTTTAACTGTTTTACAGAAGCTTAAAGAACTAAAGGAAGAAATACAGAAAGCTAAGAAAATAATGAATATACACAATGTGAATTATCAATCAGGAGATGGAAAACCTAAAAATAAACCAAAACGCAATTTTGGAATTGAAAAGTACAGTAACAAATGAAAAATTCACTAGAGGAATTAAAGGCAGTTTTTAGCAGGCAGAAGGAGGAATCAGTGAAGCTGAATAAAGACAACGGAAATTATTGGGTCTGAAGAAGAGAAAGTAAAAAGACCGAGGAGAAGTGCAGAGCCCAGGGGACCTGCGGGGCCTGTGGGACGCTGATGTGCAGGCCAGCACAAGCGGTGTGGGGCTCCCAGAAAGAGAAGACAGAAGGAAAGGGGCAAAGAGAGTATCTGAAGAAATAACAGTTGAAAAGTCTGGCAAATCTGATGAAAGAATAAATATTCAAAAATCTCAACAGACTCCAAGTAAGATGAACTCAAGAGACCCACACTAAAAAACATAATGATCAAACTTTCCAAAGCCTGTGGCAGAATTTTAAAAGCTGTGAGTGAGAAGTGAATCATCAGGTACAAGGGATCCTACATATGATCATTAGCAGATATCTCATCAGAACCTTGGAGGCCAGAGGGCAGTGAACTTATAGACTCAATGTGATTAAAACAAAACAAACAAACAAACAAACAAACAAACTATAAACCACATATATCCTCAACCCAGCAAAACTGTACTCAAACATGAGGGAGATATTAAGATTTTTCCAGAAATAAAGCTGAGGGAGTTGTTAACACTAGACCTTGCCTGCAAAAAGCACAAGGGAGCCCTGAAAGGAGAAATTAAACAAAGTAACTTGAAGGCATATGGATAAATAAGCATTTCACTGCAGGTTCACACATGAGTAATTATTAAAGTTAGTATGATTGTAAGAATAGTTTGTACCCATAATTTTTGTTTTCTATGGGGCTTAAGAAAGTAATCCTTCAAAAGAAAATAAATACATTAGTATGGAGGTTAGTATTACAGTTATGAGTGCAGAGACTAGTATTACATTAACAACCAAAATGGTTGGGGATAGAGTTTTGAAGGTGCAGTTTTTATAATATATTGAAATTAAGTTGGTGTAAATTCAAATTAGAGTATTTTAACTATAGGATTTTAAACACAACCTACAATGATAACCACAAACAAAAACCCTATAAAATGGACATTAAAGTAAATAAAAAGAAATGTTAGCATTTCACTATAAAAATCAACTCAATAGAAAGGGAGAGATTAAAAAAAATTATCAGGCATGTATAAAACTGGTAGTATCATCACAGAAACCATCCTTCCTGTCAGTAATTTTTTTTTTTTAATTTAAAATGAGTATGCTCTCCAATCCAAAGACAGGCATTGGCAGAATGAATAAAAACAAAGGATCTAACTCTATGCTGTCTGTAAGAGACCAACTTGAGATACAAAGACAACAACAAGTTGAAAGCCAAAAAATGGAAAAATATATTTCGTGCACATAGTGATCAAATGAGAACAGAAGTGGCTACACTAATTCATACAACATATGCTTTAAATCAAAAAGGGTTAAAAGAACAAAGAAAGTCATTATATTTTAATAAGGGTTCAATATTGCAAGAAGATGTAACATTTACAAATATTTATGCACCTAATGACAGGTCTTCAAAATAGATGAAGCAAAAGCTGACAGAGCTGAAAGGAGAAATACACATTTCTACATAATATGCATTTCTCCAATAATAGTTGAAGACTTCAATACCTCACTCATGACAATGAGCAGAACAACCAGGCAGAAGATGAGTAAGAAAATAGAAGAATTCAACAATATAATAACTAGACCTCCCAGACACAGACAGAGCAATCTATCCAATAACAGAGAACACACAGTCTCAGGTTCAAATGAGACATTTTCCAGGACAGACCATATTTTAGGCCACAAATTCATAATAGAAATTAATTTTATTAATAAATAAAAAATATGTTTGGCTAAAAATATTAAATAATAAATAGATTTTTTAAAAGTTATCATACAAAGTATCTTCTGACCACACGGGATGAAGTTAGAAATCAGGATCAAAAAGACTAGAAAATTCACAACATTGTGAAAATTGAACAGCACACTTTTAAACCACCACTGGATCAAAGAAAAAAATTTTCTGGATCACCAGAAAAATTATAAATTACTTCCAGATGAATGAAAATAAAAGCACAACATCCCCAAATGTATGAGAGACAATGAAAACACTGCCAAGGGGGGGATTCGTAGCTATACAAGCTTATAATGAAAAACGAGATCTGAAATCAACAACCTAACCTCACAGCTTGCGGAACTAGAAAAAGAAGAACTAAACTCAAATTTTGTACAAGGAAGGAAGGAATAAAGATTAGAGCAGAGAGAAAAAAACGAGAGAAAAGCAACAGAGAAAATGAATGATACCAAAAGTTGGTTGTCTGAATCAACAAACCTTTAGCTAGATGGACTAATTAAAAAAAAAGTGTCACAGGTTCGATTCCCAGTCAGGGTACATGCCTGGGTTGCAGGCCATGACCCCCAGCAACCGCACATTGATGTTTCTCTCTCTATCTCCCTCCCCTCTTTAAAAATAAAATGGATAAAATCTTAAAAAAAAAAGAAGACATAAATTATTAAAATCAGAAATGGAACTGGGGACATTAATACCAATTATATATTGGCTCAGTTGGTTAGACCATCATCAGGGTTGTGAGCTCATTCCTGGTCAGGGCACACACAAGAATCAACTAACAAATGCATAAATAAGTGGAACAACAAATCAACGTTTTTCTTTCCCTCTCCCCCTTCCTCTTACTATCAAAAAATAAATAAATAAATAAAATTTTTTGAAAATAACCTCGAGATATAAAGCCACCTCCTGAGTCAACCTGGGGACACAGAGGTAATACCAATTATACAGAAATACAAAATATTACAAGAGTACTAAGAATGATTTTATGCCAACAAATTAAGGTAAAATGGAAAAATTCTTGGAAACTCAAAACCAATCATGACTAAATCACACAGACACAAAAAGTCTAAGTGGACCTATAACTAGTAAAAAGACTGAGTCAGTAATCAAACGTCTCCAAATAAAGAAAACCCCTGGACCTGATGGTTCATGGTGAATATTTAAAGAACTAAACCCAATCCTTCTCAAAACTTTCTTGAAGATTGAAGAGGACGGAAGTCTTGTGAACTCATTCTGTGAAACCAGCATTGTCATGATATCAACGCTAGTCAAAGACACCACAGAAAACTACAGGCACATATCCCTTATTTATGAACCAACACGTATCAATGAAACTCCTCAATGAAAGATGACCAAACAGAATTGAGCAGCATATTAAAAGTATTATTCACTATGACCAGGTGGGATTTATTCCTGAAGGGCAAGGAGGACTCAACATAGGAAAATTAATTAATGCAATATGCTCTATCAATAGAATAAAGGGGAAAAAACACATGATCATCTGCACTGATAATAATAAAAGCACTTGACAAAATATAATACTCTTGCATGTTAACCATAACCTATAAACTAGGAAAATAAGGAAACTACCTCAAGATCATAAACACTATACATGAAAAACCCACAGCAAACATCATACTCAGTGGTAAAAAGCTGAAAGATTCTCTTCTAAGATAAGGAACAATGCAAGGATGCCTGGTTTTACCACTTCTATTTGACACACTACTGGAAGTTCTAGCCAGAGCAACTAGGCAAAAAAGCCAAACCAAAGTCAGCAAAACTGGTTAGGAAGAAGTAAAATTATCAGTTTGTAGATAGTATGATGTCATATGCATAAAATTCTAAAGATTACAAACACACACAAATCCTGTTAGAACTAATAAATGAATTCATTAAATCAGCAGGACACAAAGTTAATATTAAAAAATCAGTAGTATTTTATAATGTACTATATTTACTCTGTGATGCACATTTTTCATAAATTTCCAATATCCCAAATATAATGATTAAAAGAACCCTATATTACAAAGGCGACTATTAAGTGCTCAGTACCTCTTTTTGAGACCTTCATTACATTTGTAGCAGTCTCAAAAATAAGGCTTTCTACTAAGGCAGGACTGTCCAACTCATTTTCACTGGGGGCCACATCAGCCTTGTGGTTGCCTCCAAATGGCTGAAATAATTTTAGGACTGTATAAATGTAACTACTCCTTAACCGTTAAGGAGTTGAAAGTACATTTGAAGGCTGACGTGGCCCCCAGTGAAAATGAGTTTGACACCCCTGTACTAAGGGACCTTGACTAACATTATGGTCCAAGCTAACCAGGTCAATTTTCATCTGGTAACATCTGACAGTTATTTCAATATAAGATTGTTTGTGGTTGGAAATCCTACCTTCTGTTTCTATAAGCCTTTCTACAACTCTAAGAGTTGGCCATTTTGTGGGTGCACTTTGGCCCTGGCTGGTGTGGTTCAGTCAGTTGGAGTGTGGTCCCGCAGACCAAAAGGTGGCAGGTTTGACCCCTGGTCAGGGCACACACCCAGGTTGTGAGAAGGCAACCAATCGATGGCCCCCACCCCCTAAAAAGCAATGAGAAAAATGTCCTCAGGTGAAGATAAAAAATAAAAATTATAAAAAAATAAATAGGGTGCACTTTGATGCCAAGGAAAAGCCATCATGATTACTACATTTTTAATACTAACAACAGGTTTATTATTATATATATCATTATACAATTGAGCTTTACTTCAATTGAAATTTTTTTCTCTTCATTACACATATTTTAGTCTCCATAAAAAGCCCAAGAGTTGATCAGCTCTAAGTACAACTTGTCACAGAGAAAGCAAAATGAAGTCAACATTATGGGAATGCTTAGAAAAGAAGCAAAGCAAAAACAGAACTAATATTTACCTATTTCCTCTACTTACCCATTATTACAAGTATAGTGAGCCTCTGAACCAAACTGAAAATTTCCACTGACTTGGCCATTTAACGGGTCTGGTAATTGTGGACATGGTTTTCCTGAAAGAAAATTTTGAAATTCGTGGTTTCATATAAATTTCAAAACAGGTTTAAATCAAAACTGGAATTCTTTATTGCTCTACTGAATTTGTGGGAATATTCTTTTCTTTCTTTAACTATTAAAAGACTAAACTTAATATTCACATTTACCCAGACAACCAGTTGCCAAGAAAAAGATTCCCTGGAAATTTTTTGAAACCTAAAAAAATACATTGCTTTCTAAAATCTACTTTCACATGAGAAAACCATTATAATAATGGAATATACATCTTAAATGTGAGAAAATCTCTAGTGGAATTTAAAGAGTTTTGTGTACTTACTTGAACAAGCCTCCTGGAGAGGTTCCCATGTGTTATCAGACCGACAAACAGAAAGCACAGGAAGACGAGGAAGAATAGGGATGTATCCTGGGCGACACTGATATTCTACAGTGTCCCCAGGTTGATAAACGTCATTAGAACCACCTTTGAGCATCATAGATTCATATCTTGGTGGAGCACCACAGGCATCTGGGAATAACAGAAGGAGAACATGAAAGTAAAGCATTTTCTCCTTTTCGCCCAGCCATGGATTATAGCCTGACAGCAGGCAGGTAGGACAGAATAAAGGGAAAGGTCGTTGGCAAGGTTTTAAGTGACTGCTGTGTGCTTTTACAGGATGATGTGCCACACCTGATTTAAGTAACATTCCATCAGCTTTTGGTTTCTTGGGGAATAAAGTGAATATTCATTCAACAGTAAATTGAAGAGACAGCAGCAATATTTTTGGTTTTAAAATATATTTATAGGTACACAACCTGCACCAGTTTTCTAAGTTATTCTCACACTCATCATTCACCTAAGAAGACTTCGGTAGTATATAGCTCTTGAACAGATTACTCTTCCACACTCTGAAAAACAAATTGATGATGATGACTTGTCACTTCAGGCTCAGTCTCCTTTCAGGAGGCAGATTTCTAGAGGCCAAGGATCAATCATATACCTTATTTTCCTACTACACTCTGTACCCAATGGGTGCTCAAGAAATGCTATGGTAAGAGGTAATTATTATTTAAGCATTGTGGCTTTTATAGATCAAAATAAATATGGACTAAACTACTTCAAAATATAAGACTTAATTTCATATTAGTGAAATGAACATTTTATAAGTGAATAATTTCATTGCTTTGAATGGCCTTATATGGAAAAAAAATCTGCTTTCTTGACATTACTTTAAATACACAACCCTTGAAAAATGCTTGGGCTTGGGTTCACCGACCCCCTGCAGTTGAAAATGTACATATAACTTTTCACTTCAGCAAAACTTAAATAGACTGTTCCCTCTGTATCAGTGGGGGATTGATTCCAGGACTCCCCATGGATACAAAAACCCCTGGATGCTCAAGTATACAAAGTGATGGAGTGGGGAATAATGCATAGAGTATGCCCTCTGCATTGTCAAATTTCCAACCTCAGATGGAAAATACTGTTGGTTGTTTCCACAGATGTGAAACCCAGATACCAAACAGACAATATATTTATAGAAAAAAAATGTGCATCTAAGTAAATGCAGACAGTTCAAATCCATGTTGTTCTAGGGTCAACAGTAATTTAATCTTCTTTCACTAATCAATGAATCATTCATGATCTCAGAAGCTGTCTGAGGTAACTGTTTAGGCTGTGTATCCAATACATCCCTACAGCAAAGCTATGATATTCTATGCTTTTAGGATTTTTTACTTCTGATTTTTTTGGGGGGAGGGCTGTTTTCACTCCCTTGAATAGTGTCATTTCTACTCTAGCAATTTGTTTTCCTTTAAATTATCTGTGGGCTTGAAAAACCTAACAGATATGTTAGAACAAATACATAAAATAATGTGATGGAGACACATAGAGTCCTAAAGGGCTAAAAGAATGCAGAAGCCTCTCCTACAAGGTTAAGGACCTAAGGAGAAAAATCTGTTTTGATTCCTGAGCAATCTTTCCTTTCTTACTCCCTGGATTGATATTACTTCAAACTGAGAGACTAGTAAAGATAAACAAGTAAAATTGTACTCTTCTTTGAAGTCAAATTCTAAATTCTAGAATTCTCTATATCTACATAATCCAATATTTCATTTCCATCATGTCCTGAAATTCACCTACTGGCAAAAGTTTTCAACATTTTCAGTATGCTGACCTCAGTATCTAAATTCTCCTCAATCAACCGCTCAAAGAAAAAAAGGCAAATCAAAAGCCTTAATAATTAAAAACATCGTTTAAAAAGAGGATTAGTAGTTAAAACCATTGTTTAAAAAGAGGTGAGTTTTATAACATTACATTTACTTAATACCCTGAGCTAGATGTTGTCACTTTCAACAGGAAAACAGACATGGGCTAGAAATGCTATATAATTCTGTTCAGATACAAATGAATGACATCCTCCTAGAATTTCCTGGAACCAACAAGAAAAAAAAAATCAAGTAATAGCATGCCTGTGATTAAATTATACAAGTATTCTTTGTTTCATGCATTCAATCTCAGTAACTATCTTGAAAGCCAACATAGGGAGGATTCCTGACAGGACTTTCGCAGATAGTCTCTGTATGGAAAAGGATAAAATCAGTAAGATAGTTTAATCCATTCAACTAGTTAGAAGTATTTCTTCCCACTAACGTGCATCATGAAAGACATGCTTCCACCAATGTGCGGAGTGTAAATTTTGGTTTGGCAACCAGTTGATCTCAAGCTTCACACACTGTAATGATCGAGTCCAATACCACACTTTTTACTAAGCAGATTTCCTCCCTTGCTCAGAACACTGAATTTTCTTCCAATGAGGATGCTCAAACTAAACATTCCCAGATGCACAAACACAGCACTTTGACTTAGTTTTTTCTAGGTAGTTTAAATACAATTATTACTTGGCTGTAATGCTATGCTTCAACAATAGATGACATTATGTAATATGATGGGCTGCATTCAGAAAATCCCCAATGTTCCTGGTGAGTTTCAGAAAAATAAAATAGTTTTCTGCTATGAATCAGGTGAACTGCTCACCTTCTCTACATTTGCCAAAATTAGGTAAGCACTACCTGAGTGCAAAAATTAAAATCACTTTCTCACATGAGTACACACACAGCCCTACCCAGGTGGTGCCTTCAGAAAATCATGGTCTCTCATTCAACTGGAGCCCAGTGAAACCTGACCATCCTGCTCCTTCTCCCACTGTCTACACAACCTTTTAAAGACTTTCTCTGCTTCTCAAAATGCAGACTCTGGCATCTACACCTGTCAATTTTATTTCTCACTTCCTCATTTCTAGGTTTACAAAATCATTTAAATTACTTTGAAAGTCATTAAGTGGCCTCCTTGGTTTTCAATGAACCCTAACATTTTCTTCCTCAGTAATTTCAGTTACACTGTTTCAAACATCTGGAGCTATTGATCATTCTGTCTTTGCTCCTTTCTGTCTGAAAAGCTCTCTTTGGTTTCCAGGACAGCACCACCACCTTGGTTTTTAGCTTGTCCTCTGGCTAGTCTTCCTTCTCTGCCTGATCAGATAATGGGATAATGGGATGTTCCTAATGGTCTTTCTGGGAACTCTTGTTATTTCATTCTGCGGACACCCTGGGTGGGTAGATATACTCCCACAACCTTGTTACCCCTGAGGAGAGCTGCCTCCCAAATCCCTCTCCATTCTAGATCTCTACTTGGGGTGCTAGGTCTACATATTCAGTTGCTACTCCACATAACTCCACTTGGAAAGTGTCATGCTATTTTAATGAATTCACCCTTTTGATTCTTCACATTCACACATACCCAGCAAAATAGTTACATTGTTTCCACAACTGAATGCTTGTTCATCCCTCTAGTTCTATCCTTTATTTCTACAGCCACTGTCATTTATCTGGATTGTGACCAGTTTCTGGATAGGTCTCTTCATCTACCTTGGTACTATCCATTCAATTCATTTTTCATAATGCTACCAGAGTAATATTGCTGTGACACAGTGACCAAGGACCTCCCAAGCCAGATACTTTTCAATGGATACCCAATGCCGTCAAGATAATGTCTAAGGCTCCTTAGCATGGCTAAAGACTTTTATAATACAATCTGTCACTATCTGAATCCTGCTTTCTCTTGCACAATATTGTCAAGCCATATTCAATCTCTTGTGTGCCCATCACGTTACTTAAATTACTTTAGCACTCCAGGCCTGCATGCATCATTTTACTTCAGTTTTGATCAGAGACTCTGTCAGTCTTCCTACCCACTTACCCTTCAGTTTCAGCCTAGGCACCAAATCTTCCTTGATGCTCTTGACATCTCTCACTCAAAATACTGGGATGTCATCATGATATCCCAGTACAGTTTTCATAGAACATTTCACATTGTAATTCTTTCTTATTTTTATTCCCTACAAGGCTGTCACCTCCTTGAGGACCTCATCTCATTCACTGCTGCATTTCCTGTACCTAGTATCAGAGCTGAATGAGCAGTTTATCAGTTCTATACACTCAGATCAAAACTCAAATTCTTTATTATTGAGCCAACTTGTTCCAGAGATATCTGCAAATCCTAGTCATTTTCTTCAGTTTTTGCCTGTATTCATTTTTTTCCCATTGGTTAAATTAGAGATATTTCCCTGTATGGCATTTTAAGTTTCTTTCGTGTCAAAATATTCATGCTTAGTTTAATATGAACCCATTCTCCATTGCTGCTATTATTAGAAATGGTATTTCAACATTAGCGAAGGCGGACTGTAGGCCAGCACAGTTCTGGCACAAGCAGCCTGGTTCCAAAAGGAATAAGCCTGAAGGTCATCACAGCCGCAATGGAACAGCTTGATTTCAAGAGTCGGGCAGAAGTGCTGAGTCCTCTCCCACAAAACAAGGCCTTAACCAGAAAAGTATGAAGACTTAATTAGATCTGGAGGAAACACCTTTAAGGCTGACTTCTCCTGTTTCAGTAATGGTTCTTGTTTAAGTGGCAAATATTGTGTTGGAATGCGACTATCAACACCCTTTGATGTAACTGAAGAGGCATTTTTGCCTTTGGCTACCACAGCCCAGGAAGCTCAAAGGGGCCTGTGCCCTAGCCAAAGGCGTAAGTAACTGCTGACATTTCTACTGATAGCAGAGATGCTTTCAGAGTAGTTAATGATTTGGAATGTTGTGGAAGCAACATGGTTTTCTTACTTCCAGCTGAAAAAAATTCAAAGTGGCCCATATGTTCAGAAAATTTTAGATGCTACACTTTTACCTGCTGCTTTAGCTATTATTAAGATCCCAGGGCATTCTAAACTTGACTCTCTGGAAGCTAAAGGAAAATCTCCTTGCTGACACTTCCACAAGGAATGCTGTCCTTAAAAGGAGCCAAGGGCAGTCAAACCTCTGATATGGTGAAAGGGGTATTTCCCCAAGTGATAACTTATAAAAACTGGCTACAGTGGCCCAACTGGCCTCAGGAAAGGAAAAACAAAATTGGAAATTCTACAACTGTTGATCTGATGAAAAGAGAAAGCTCTGGTTTGGGCCAAATAACAACCA